AATACTTTGACAATTATTTTATGCAAATAATTCAGTTTATTATGTTATTCAATCATAGCCCTTCCGATGTATGTTTTAAAATCTTTGTTAAGGCTGTTTTTCGAGGACTCCGCCGAAATATGAAATGATGCTGTTTTTACAGCTGGTGTGAGTTTGCAACTGTTACTTATCAAGGTCCGGACAGTTAGGTCAAGTTTAGCCTGTCTAAAGCCAGCGCTGTCTACGCTTATTTCGAAAATGGCGCGAATTGTCGATATAGAGAAAAGCCGCATTTTTGTGAAGATGAAAAGCGTTTGTGATCTACTCATTTTTCAATGCTTAAAAACTTACTTCAATTCTGCACTACCTGGGTTCATAAAATTCTGCAAAAACTTAGTATAAATCTGTGATTTTGATAATTTTCATCTAAGTGGGAAAATATCGTCAAATTGGCGATTTTTAAAAAAGGTTTAATAACTTATAAAATATAAATTATTTGTCTGTTCAAAAGTCGAGATAATTCTTCACAGCAAGATTTAAATAATAATCATTATGTTGATAAAATCATCATCATGCTGATCATCATGTTGATAAAATCATCATGTTGATAAAATCATCATGTTGATTCAAGTGAAGGGCACATAAACTATGGCTTTTTATTTTTCTTGGAGACTTCGAAATACAGAGCTAATGCTGAAATAGAAGAAATATGCGCTATAGTAGTCGTGAATTGACGTATAAGTATTTGCACTTCAATAATATCAGACAAAAACAATATTGAAGAAGGCAGTGCGTGCATTTTTGTATAAGCAAGTTTACTAAGCATTTCCAAATTTTTTCTTACTTCAGAATTTTTTGTCATACTTTTATTTACACATGCTTATTTTATTCTATAATATGAAAGATTTTACATTAAACAAGAACAGAAATTATTAAGAAATTAGTAAAATTATATTAAAATAAAATTCAAAATAAAAAATAATATTTTTAAAAACCACGTTTTTGTAGTGGAGAATAATAATTAAAAAAAAATTGAAAAACGAAAAACGTGGGGCGCATGAAATACATAACAGTAATGTTATATTAGTGTGTGTATGTGTGCTCTTGAGAATATGTGTATGTATATCTGTAATTGTAATTGTATCTGAATGTGGATGTGGAATATGTTTGTGTATATGCATATGTATGTGGATGTATATGTGGCTGTGCATGTGTATGAGTAAGAAAATGTGTATATGTATGTGTATATGTACTGTTATGTATTTCATGCGCCCCACGTTTTTCGTTTTTCAATTTTTTTCTTAATTATTATTCTCCACTACTAAAACGTGGTTTTTAAAAATATTACTTTTTATTTTGAATTTTTTTATTTTAAACTATGATTTTTTTAATTTTTAATTTTTATTTTATATTTTTAAAAAATTATTATTTTTTAATTATTATTCTTCACTACAAAAAACGTGGTTTTTAAAAATATATATTTTTATTTAGATTATTTTTCTTAGTCAAGAGTAGTCAAGACTACTACAAGACCACTACTAAAGTAATAGAACTTTTATTTTAAATTAGGGATACAAAAATCTTTATAGAAAAACAATACCTTTACGACTTTCATTAGTTTTATGCTGATGACAACCAAAACAATCTGGAAATGAATGAGGAAAAACTGGATCCTACCACGTGATTTTTCAGCCAATAAAAATACTCCGACAATAAAAATATTTTCACCTGACAAGTAAAACTAATTTGAAATAATGGAATCGACAACAAAAGACGATCTCCAAAAAAAATTTTTTTTTTTAATTTCAATTTTATTTTACTTTTTATGTCTTTTTTCTCTTCATTTTCATGCATTGTCATTCAATTCTGAACTATGTGCCAAATTTGAAGTTAGTACCTAGTCGGGAAGTTAGTTTAAAATCGATTACAAAATTCCACCCGGACAGACATACACGAAGGAAAGTTTATATAAACGTGGTAATAAAATAATAATAAATAAAATCATAGTACAAAAATTTAATACCATACCGTTATTTGACCTTTGTTTATTAGCTCCATTTCATATATTTTTTCACTGCAATTAAGGAAAAAAGAAACAATTTTTTATTAAAAATAAATGTGTTAATTTTATTTTTGTGTTTTTATGCAATTCTGACTTCTGAAATTTGAAAAAAAAATTCATTCAGCATTATTTCACGAAAAATAACTGACGAATCTAAGCATTTTGTTATAAAAAATAAAATATTTGTTACAATGACGGTTATTTTGTTAAATATTATGCTAATAATATAATTAAAAAATACAGAATTACATGTTTTTATCAAACTAAATAGAGTGAATTCTTAGTAATAATAATAATAAAAGCAAATTCAATTGCTTTAGAATTAAAATTCAAAAAATTGGACATGTTTGGAACGCTATTCGTCTTGATGTATCATGTAATTGAAGAAAACAGGACAGTCGCGAAACAAGAAAAAAAAGCGTAGTAAAATAACTAATCCGAAGAAAGTGAAGCGATGAGATATTACTTGATACAAAAATTTCGTTTTCTTCAAAAATATACTTGTATAAAAAATTTTCATATTTATTTTTATTCACTCTTGGCTACTGAAGTTTACTAAGTTTGTTTCTCTCCATTATTTCCAATCTTTTGTTTTATTTTTATAATTTTATGACCGTCGTTGAACAGCCGACCCAATTTTTGGGTTTACGACTTACTAATGTTCAACTCCGTAACCTTGTAATTTTGATCCCAAATCAGAGGACAAGGGAACTTCTGGATCAAGTATCAGGGAGAAATTTGCCATCGTGGAGGACTTTTTGATGAAACTAACCCGCATTTGCGTTACATGGAGAGGAAGACCACGAGAACCTCCCACGGTTAGCCTGACGGCAAGGGCACTTTCTTTTTTCTTTCCTTCCAGACGCGGATACTTACCTATGATAGTAAAACCCTTACCCGTATAATCCGCGTCCGGCCAACCTCAACCCCGGGAACGCGCTTGATCAGTGGCAATTATTTAAAATTCCAAAAGAATGAAGATTACAATTTTGTTCACAAATATACAGAAATATTCATTTGAATATTGTTTAAACAAGAATTTTCTTTATATAAGTATATAGCAAGGGGACTCTAAGCCATGATCCGTCTACCACTGAGGATATTTCAAGTCAGTACTGTACAAGCCGGATGCGGAATTCGTATCGACCAGCCATCGCCGGGATCAAATCCCGGTTCACCTCATTGTCAGGAAAACTCTCTATCCCCTGAGCCATCGCGGCTCTTTTGTTGGCAATTTCACGTCTTATATTTCAAATTCAGGTCTTGAAAATGAGTGACTATTTTTGAGCGCCTGAAACAGGTTGACGCTTTTATCCAATCTGTATATTTTTGAAGCGAATGGAGTTTTTTAATCAAGTTAAATGCGTTATTGCTAACGAAAACTGAAGGAGATAGAAACTGAGGGGGGGGGGNGGGGGGAGGAATCAAATCAAAACAAAATACATTTAATCGGGAGGGGTGACACAAATGTTTTCTTAATTTGCACAGCCGTACCCAATGGCCACCGCGATTCTTTTCTTTTCCTCACTTAATTTATTTTCCGTTTTTTTCTGGAAACATATAGTTTGTCTAAAGTAAGAACTCCCCTAGTCACTTAGCTAGTACCGTGGTGGTGACTATGGTAACGAGGTATAACTATTTCAAGTAGGGGTGTGGGGTAACTGTTTAGAACAGGTTCTGGATCGAGTCGGAGAAAGAATAGGAATCTTTTTCTTAAAATGTGTTAGCTCTAGAGTAAAGAGGAGCTACCCTCCCTGAAATATGTTATTTTTGCTTCTATAACAGAAGACAGCAGAAGACTTTGCGGCGGGGGTAGTTCTTACCGTAGACAAACTATACTTAACCGGTGCTGTTTTCATAAATTATGTGGTTCCATCATGATGAGGAGCGTCGAACAAGCAAGTGTTTTATTTTCAAATTCATTTTCGCTTCAATTTTTCTTGACAATAATTGCTTCAGTGAACCGTGATCACATATTAGTGAGATTGTTCTATTCTCCTTTCACAGTATTGTATATAAGAAAAACCTTTCTGACTCAACCGACTCAAGATCTTAGGGACTCAATACGGCACTTTAAATTTACCATTTCGATTTTACGTATCAATTCATCCTGATCTCATCATTTGCATAAATTCGGAATACTCAAATCAAAATTCTTGATGGTCACATCAAAAAATTTGATGGTTTATGCTGGTTTCAGAGTGATTTACGATGGTCCAGCATAACTAGATTGTCGCCATCATCCAACATTTTACATCATGCGTTCATGGTTTTTGATATGCCAACAAGCTTCCCTCATGGAATGATGGAAAATGACGCTTTAATACTATGATGGTTACCCATCAAGAGAAGTTTGATTCTCATTTACCAACAATCCGTGATGGTCCATGATGATTCTAACTATACATTTTCATCATTTTTTAACTGGACTTCTTGTTGGTTCTCAGAAATGTACCACCGAAATAATTTTTTTACCAATCATAAATCAGTCCGAATTCCTACATTGGAACGATGGTTGTTCATGTTAATTCCACCATTTGATTTCTAAGAAACTATGATTAAAATTTTTGATTGTTCAACATGAACGAACAATCAAAACAAGTTGTTATTCTTATGTTGGACCATCATAAATCAGTCCGAATTCCTACATTGGGGTGATTGTTACTCATGTCGGTTACTATCAAAAAACATAATGATTCATGAAGGAATTATTGATGGTTAACATCATGATTATATTGTTTCATCAATGGAAAACAATAAAATTTTTTGACTTGGATAGGCAAGCCCGGGAAAGAGTTTCTTTCTCATTCTGTGAATCTTGAAGTGGTTAAAAGAAATACCAATAATCAGTTGTTTAATATTCATTAAACAAATATTGTTTGTTTTTATATCCATTTCCAAGCAATATGTAATTTCTTAAATAATTGATACAAAAATTAAGATTGCTAATTAGTAATACTTACAAACAAGGTTTTTTGCCACACTGATCTCCGCAGCCTTCTTCAAACATTTCCGAATACCGATTCATATCTATACAAGATATAAAATATACAGAATGCTTCTAAAATTTTTAGACTAAATATGTATATCTACCACTAAAAAAATATAAATCCCATTCACCAGTATATAAGACATGTTAACTCAATTCTATGTTGGAGTACCTTTTCAGAGATGAAGGTTGACATTGTCTATATCTACTCTCCCCACATTGGTGACCCGGATGACCCGAACGCGATGTGAACACGCCAACTACGATTTGAACAAACCTACTTCGATGGATGGTCCACATAGATCAATTGACTTGCTACTTGTGGCTGCGACATTATCCACCACCTCGCACTATTGCTACTCAGTCTCGATTACACACAACGTACAAAGTATGTACTTGACTGCTAAAGACAACACAGGAGTGACCACGGCAGTGAAATTAATACACCTCTCACAATCAGCATTTAAAAAGTACGGTGATCTTAATACAGCTTTCCCGGCTTCTCCCAAAACAGCGACCATCTAGTGGCATCCGTTCATCGAATTTAGTCACAGATAAAATTCTGGTGGGGGAGTACTGTAGTGTGTCTACTATTATAAAAAAGTAATTCCTATTCACTAGTATATAAGACATGTTAATTCGGTTCTATGGTAGGGTACCTTTAAATAGATAAAGGATGACATTGTCGATATCTACTTCCCCGACACTACTCTTCCAATCTGAGAAATAAGGCATTCATAAGAATAAAAAATTCATAAAAGTGGAGTCACAATAGCCAGAATTAGGACAATAAAAAAAATTATACATTATTTTACTTGCTCACGACTAATACATTTTCTGGGTGAGACTTTCTACTAGTTTTTGATAGGTATTGACTTATAGGCTTTCACCACAGTTCAAGTTAAGGCAAACAGTGATGATGTTCGATTTAGCTGACTACGTAATCTGCGAGCTAATTCGATCAAAATATGTTCCACGAGACTCTGGGAAAGTCTAGTCTTTCAAAACTAATTTTTCAGAACCGACAATGAGCAAACGTCCCATTTGTTTGAGCGTAAGATTACTAACGTTCGACTCCATACCTTTTTAATTTTGAATTTAATCCAGAAGACAAGGGAAGAAATTCACCTCCGTGAAAGACTTTTTGAAGGATCTAATCCGCATTTGCGTTAAGTGAGGAGGAAAACCACGAAAACCTCTCACGGATAATACGATGGCAAGGGAACTCGAACCCATGATCGGCCTATTTCTGACGATGTTTTACGTCAGCACTGTAGTCAGTACGAGCCGGGTGTAGAATTCTTATCGACCAGCCATCACTGGGATTCGAACCTGATGCATCTCATTGGTAGGTGAACGCTCTATCACCTGATCCTCCAAGGCTCTTGAATACTAATGTTTTTTATTTTATAACCGTCGGTTAACAGCCAATCCAATTTTATAGGATTGCGACTAATAATGTTCATCTCCGTAGCAATTTTGAACTCAATCCAGAAGACAAAGGAACTCCTGGATGGAGTAATGGGAGAAATTTGCCTTCGTGGAGGACTTTTTTTGTTGATAGAGCTAACCCGCATTTGTGTTACATGAAGGGGAAGACCACGAGAACCTTCCTCTGTTAGCCTGACATCAAGGGGACTCTAACCCATGATCCGTCCACCACTGAGAATATTTCATGTCAGTATTGTGGTCGATGCAAGTTGGATACAAAATTCATATCGACTGGGATTCGAACCCGGTTCGTCTCATTGGAAGGCGAACGCTCTATCCTCTGAGCCATTTCAGCTCTGAATACTAATTCCGTCAAACCATGACCTGCTCTAGTCTTAATACTGGAATGGACCTGCCGTCCTGCTAGTAAAGAAATAGGCATTCCCAGAAATATCACCATACTATTGGGAGAAAACCATTGTCCATAATGTGCACATACAGCTCAGTTTATGTATTCCACCACTAGAAACTAAGCTAACCATGATAAACTTTTTGAGGAACTTTAACCAGGAGGTACTATAGTGTCCAGAAATTTTAGCTAGATTGTGTACAACTACGAAAGATGCTCTAAGTCTTGGCCATGCTCATGGATAGACGTATGTATAGACACTGTATGGAATGGATGGCATTACGTGCACAACGTATAGCATTAAAATCGCAAAAAGATTCGTTAAAAACTGAGCAAGATATAAGTAGTTAAGGTAGTTCTTTTATGCTGCTCATGCGCAGAAAAAATTTAATTTTTTTTGGTCTTCATTTTTCAGTGAATTTTATTTGGCAACTAATAAAAAAAAAGTTTGATTTGAATACCTTAAAAATTTTGAAGCAATTTTCTAAGTAGGTTTTGTACTTTTTAAAAGAATGCTCAGAAACATTAGGGGATTTTACAAAAATTTTATTTCGTGTAAAATCCCTTTTTATTTCATAAAACAAAATTTAATAACTGATGATAATACTATACAATAATGGCCCGGAAGCCAAAATGCGTTAGTATAAGGAAAGAAAACATGAGAAAGAAAACATACATTTATGAGGGACTAAAAACATACTTTAATTCTTTCTTAACGTATTTTTTATTTTATTTTATTATTTTCTTTGCAGTTATTTGTTTGTTGATGTGTTGATGGGAAATTGTCAAAATTTCATTGGACAAAAAGAAGGAAAGAATTTCTTGCACCTTTTAGAAACATATATTGGTGTCAAAAATACAACACCTCCATTAAAATTTAAATAAACTAACTAACCAGAAAGAGGTCAAAATTTTTGGTTGAAGATGAATTCTATTTAGTGATGAAATATCGATGCAATTTTCTTTCAAGGTATAAAAGTAGAATTATAAATTACAGAGGAGACTTTTTAACAGCATTTTTTTATTAAAATTTATTTTCTTGTCAGTTTTAGTATCGATTATGCTTTGGTTTTCTAATAGTAAAGTAGGAGAACTACTGATCTGTGAAAATAAATCATAATGCAATTGTAAAAGTATATGAAGTATTCAATTTTCCATAATCTTGAAACTAGTGCAGTATTCTAATTATTATTTCTACAGTAACACCTAATAATGTGTAATACCTAACGTCTAATAGTGTGATAAGTCATGTTATACATGCGGAAAACTTCTAACTACTTTGTAAGGATAATACAATAATAAATGGAATATTGCGTTTTTGAAATATTTTAATAGAAGAGTATGAAAAGTCACGTTATACGCGAGAACAACTTCTAACCACTTTGTAAGGATAATACAATAAGAAGTAGAATATTGTCTTAATGGATTATTTTAATAGATTAATTAACCCGTGTCCTACATTTCTTTTCTACGGTTTTGAAACCATGCTATTAATAAATTGTTAGCATTAGTTTTGTTCTCATGGTTTTTTAACGATACTAGTTGTAAACGGTTTCAAGCATGTAAAGGTAAAAAATGTTTTTTAATCTAAACTTGACGGTTAATTAGATGGACAGATAGCTGCCAGTTATTTTAGAATAAAAATTCTAAGATTGTAAAGTATATTCCATAACAGCTCTATTTAGAAATCTGTTATGTTATAACATATCACTTACTTATTCCTAACTAATAAATATTTGAAAAAAAGTACATGTACCACATTTAAACAAGCATGAAAGCAAAAATTAATAAAATACTTATACATCTGCAAATTCTCTCCTTGTGAGGTAAGGGAAAGTCAATAGGAATGCAATAATTGGCCAATTTTAATGCATCCAAAACACACTTGAACATGCACTCCTGTAACATAAACAAAACAGACTTGCATTATCATTTGTTTATGGCATTATTGTTATTTGAAAGTATTTATAACAATTTCTAGTTTCTTTTAACTTACGGCAAAGCTAACTACAGTCCATGACCAAATTATTAGACATACTATAAGAATCTATGTAAAATCTTAACTATCATGTGATACTATACAGATTTATTGCTTTTACACGATTGAAACCGGTTTGTACTTGTTTACGTTCGTGTATCAATTTGTGAAATTAGAGGATATATAATATAAATTCGACAATTGGATAAATTAGACGACATATTATATAAATATAGAACATTTATTATACCAGGTATTACATTAGAATAATTATAATAATTAGATCAAATTATTAGACGCACTGTAGTGTTTTACTAATTGCATGTTTTGCACGAGTTTATAGGCAATACTTTTATATTTTAACATACATGTAGTGGATTTTTATAAAGAAGAATTTTTATATACTTCCAATTTGCATTTATTTTCAACGTATCGCATTACAATGTTAACCAATTAATACACGAATATAAACAAGTGTAAACCTCTTTTATCCGCGTAATAACACTAAAGTTGTAAAGTATTGCCTGATAATTAAGATTTTACATAGAATCTTACAGCGCATCTAATAATTTGGCCAAAGACTGTAACTATATCGGTTTTAAGTTAAATTTTTTTAAAGGCTAGTTATCATTTTTCAATGTTATTTATTATATTATAGTTAAAAGATTACGAAAGTTCAGATGGCAAAAATGGGCTCTAGTAAAATGAAAATAAAGTCTCATCTCATTTAGTAATCCAGTCAGAGCAGTCGTTGGGAAAGATAGTTCAAAGTTGCAATGAGACAATAATTTTTGAATCGATGACAGCCTGCTCACGTCAGGGAAGACTTTCCTTCAGTTTTTGATTGGTGGCCATTGGAATTGACTTCCAGGCTTCGATCGAAACTGAAGTGAGTGCACGCAGTGAGGATGGTTGATTTGGGTGGCTGCGCAATCTGCATTCCAGTTCCAGAAGATCTGAGAGGGCCAGTCCAGTTTTTGAACACTTATTTCGTCAAACCACATCTGTGTAAACCTCGATGTGTGGAATGGAGCAGTTATTCTGCTTGAAGAGATATGAACCTTCCCCGAAGTATTGTCACAGAATTAGAAGTGCAGCATTGTCCAGAATGTCCACATACATCTCAGAGTTCATGTTTCCAACGGACTTAGCCCGAACCTTAAGAAACACCCCTAAAACATTAAGCTTCCACCGCCGTAACAAACGGGTGTCCGGATACTTTTGGCAAGATAGTGTATTACTGTTGTATCCAAGTGGAGTCGTAGAGCGACCTCTACACGCGTGACTTCTATGGTTACAGTGGTCTGTGGTAAGACGATATCTTCCACAGACTGTATGCCCTGGTACCACAAGGAAATTGTACATTTTCAATTGTACCCATAAGATTAGATTGAACAGATTATTAAGTAAATCATGGTAACCGAGTTTGGAAACCGTCAGAAATAAAAAAAATAGTGCGTGGAGTCCCTCCGCGCGGAAGAAGTTAAACTTCGCAACCTGCGACGTTAATTGTAGAAGAATCAGCAGTCGTAGAAGGATCACTAGTTCTATTCAACGACTCTTTTTCCTGCTCCGCTCGCTTCCGTGCTCTGTAATCACGGTAATATTGTGCATTTTTCCCTCGTGGACCTCTTGAACCAGTGGAAGTGCTTGTGGTTGCCTCATCGTCTCGCCCTGGAAAATGTATTTGTATTAATAATGTATGTGAATGCGTCATAATGTAATTTCAAAAGAGAAAACCTAACAATCAATTGATATTCACAAGAGACGTACCTTGACATAACCTTAAATCCGTCGCATTGTCCGTGGGATTGTTTTCACTCATTTTTTACAATTGTTATCCACTAAATTTGAAAATAAAAAATACTACCCTATTAAATTATATGTGTATCAAAACAAACTAAAAAAATATTTATAGAAAAACAATACTTTTATGACTTTTATTATTTGTATGCTAGTGAGAACCAAAACAATATGGAAATGAATGAGGGAAAACTGGATGCTACCACGTGATATCCCGGCCAATAAAAATGTAGCGTTAAACGTTTAACGCAACCTTGTTGGAAGTCGCATAAGAAGTATAACTTCAAAAAGATTGCTAACATTTCGTACAGGAGATATTGGTTTGTTTCCGTCTCGCATGATGCTGGACATTCCATAGAAAAACTAGTAAACTGTGATAAATGGCTTGTATGTTTTTAGTTTTAAAATAGAGATAATTATATTTACATAAGGAGATTTGCATAAATCGTGCAATAATTCTGCAATATTTTATTTCTATAACCTTCGGTTTTGTTAAACCTAGTTTGATTTCATAATAATATACAATCTGTGTTGAAGTTAACAAAGAGATAGCTATTGGAGTATTTACCCACGCTTTAAAGAGTATAGTTTCGTCTAAACTGCAATAAATGGTTTCAGATGTATGTATATATTTGTTAAACAAACTAATTTCATTAAGAAATATTTTATGCATATATTCAAAATGAATTATTCTAAAATTATGTTGTATCGTGAAATTAACTTGACTGACACTTATGTGGATCGTATCTAACTGTAATTATAAATTTTAGTGATACTGAATAACAAAAGTGATGGAGGATACTTTATACCAATTATTTTTGGTGTAGCTGTAGTTGTCGTATGCCATTAAGGCAAATTGGTGCGAATGTTCTTGTTTTCCTGTGGCGCCATCTATGGCCTAGAATACAACTTCTACCCCTCTCAAATGTCGCTCCCGTTTATGGGGCGGACCCATTCATGCATCCATTCATTCATCCACACATCTCAAATTTGATCTGAACTAGAGAACGTACCCCCAGAGGTATTGATTTATTAAGGGATCATGCAAGACTTTATGATCCGACAGATTTAACGTGCACCAGTCACTATACACGGGGAGTCTTCGGCCGGCTAGATTCAAACTCCCGTTCTCATGAACGTGAGTCCAGCATCCTACCAGCAAGGCCATCCCGGCCCTCTTAGTGAAGTGAGACACCTAAATCTATCAGTTATGTATAGCGTTCCATTATGCCACTTTGGAGTAAAGTAGTTACCACCATTTTTGTTGTTGTCGCACACTAAAACTTTTTACTGTGTACATTTATCTCCAAACTTGGATAGAAAAAATGTTATATGGTTAACCAAATTTCAGAAACTTGTTTCCATTTTCAAAATTAAAAAAAAGAGTATTATGAATATTTCATTTAAAAATTAGGGTTTAAAAATAATGTACCTGAAAATCAAGAGGACCGGTCCCATTTCTCTGCATCCATGAAGACAAATAGTCCGTGCATTTTGTGTCATAGGGAGATGGTAACAGGCTGGTTTGAATCTTCGGGAAAAAATAATCAGATAAATATATATGCATGATATATATTTTATTGAAAATAATACTCGGTCTAACACTAGCTCTGTTTCTAACGGCTAAGTGGGGATATCGACAATGTCAACTTACATCTATGGAAAGGTACCCCAACATTGAATCAATTAAACATGTCTTATATACTAGTGAACTTTGGAATTTTATTTTTGTTCTGGTAGACACACTACAGTACTTCCCCACCTGAATTTTAGCCGTGATAGAATTCGATGAATGGATACCACTAGTTGATTCACTGCTTCTTTGTGAGAAGCCGGGAGAGCTGTATTAACATCACCTTACTTTGTAAATGCTAATCGTACTTTTGAGTGCTGAGCGTGAGAACTGTATCTATTTGAGCTGGCATGACCAGCTCGTGGATCAGCGATGTCGGTCAGCTTTTTAAGTGTCTCACTACTGGCCGCTAAAATAGCTTGCATGTTGGATGGGAGTCAGTTCATCCATAATGTTTTAACAATGTTGTCTGTAATGTTTTTATGTGAATATAGAGGACTTTGTGACTCGACAGATTAAACGTGCATCGATCATCATTTACTACACAGGGAGTATTCGGCCGGCGGGGATCGAACCCGCTACCCCTTGAACATGGGCTCAGTGCCTTATCAACTAGGCTATCCCAGCCCTACTATTTACTCTGGTGTTGTCATTAGGTTAAAATGCCCAGTTCGCATTCGCTGTTTGGTATTTCCTACACTGATGCTTTCTTCAGCCAAACTTCAATAGTCCGGTATTTTAAACATTGATGTTTTCCCAATTTTACCCCAAACGAATATTGTTATAATAATTGCAAAATGCACCCGTCTTATAGCAATTTGTGTTTATAAAAATTGCTTTATTGAATGAAGAAAATAATACATTTTCCTTGATTGATAATTTAGTAACATTTTTTTAAAAGATAAAAATGCGTTCTAATGAGTCCTTATGGCATTAACCATCAAAAATGGGACCATTTTTAATAACCACCTCAAATGGGAATGCTTCAAATGATATTAAACTTGTTATTTTGAGGCAAATTACTATCTACCTCTTTTACTTACCTCTTTCTTAATGTTGTATTCATACTTATTCCCACCGTACAAAATATCTCCGGAATGGAATGGATTTACTATCTTCCTTCTGTCATGAACTGCGATTATAAGTCCTGGCTTCAAAATCGTATTCCCATAGTCTGCAACTTCGGTTAAAAGTAGCATTTCTATCTCTAAATGAAAAGAATAAGTAATATATGAATGATATCAAGACCATGCAACCGGTTTTCCAAAAACAACACTGAGACCAAAAATAACACAAATAGGTTTTCCGAAAATAACAATAACAAAAATAACTATAAAAATAAACTCACCAACTTAAAGCATAACAAAAGTAAAAGTGAAAAAAAATTCTAAAATAAATTATCAAACAGCAGCGGTCGCCATAGCAACACCTGCAATGACGACGCATGCGCACTGTTTACTATTACTCTTGAACACAGTTGAAAAGTGTGATGCATCACACCCGACTTAGGCGAGATCATGTCTTTGTATAAATGCAAAAAAAAATTTTTTTTTCCCTAGTGTAATCAACGATATATAAAATAAACTATAAAAACGGAAACAGGTAAAACTGATACATTCTATTTAGTAAATTAAAAATTTTTCTCCACAAGTTTCGAAATAAGTTTCAAAGTTTATTAAAAGCTCTTTCATGAGAATTAATTATCACCAGAATTTCCAACGATATTCTGCATTCCGAGATCAAAATTAACAGACACCTTATCTCTGTTATAGTTATCTGGCGTGCAACGGAAAACATATTATAATTTTATAGTTTTTATAGTTTTTTCATTTAGCAGGGTCATCTGTTCATGAATTTTGGTAACATAAATTCATTGTTTCCTGAATTGCTTCGTGCGCCACTGATATATTAATTATGAATTTGGTTTACGAGTAATCTGATTCGACAAATCCATAATTGGCACTTCTCATCAATACACAGTGGGCCAGAACACCATGATCTTTGGCCAAAAGTCAAAAATTTAATTTCAACTAATATATGTTTAGGCAACTTTAATATCGCCCAAATTAAGTTCATAATATTCATAATCATTCCAGACATTATAATTTACTTTTTGAACCGATAAGAGTACAATTTAGTGAAAAATATGTTAAATTTTTTTTTAAATGTAACTTTTAAATTTAAATTTCAGAAATATATGTAGGAATTTCACCTTACTGTTACATTTTTATCAAAGTAATTAGTCTGAAATTATAGTACAATTTTTCAATTTGTTGGATTAGTTAATACTCTTGACAAACTTATAGTTTATATCTTATCATTTGACATTTTACAATGTTTGAATGACTTTCGAAACTTAGTTCCAAAAAGTTCCACGAGGTAATTAGCTAAACTTTTTTTTGTTGTCTTCTTTGATGTTTCTTCTTTCGAAAAAACCTGCCCCATTTTGCCCGTATTGCAAAGGTGGACTAAATATACCGAAAAACAAAAATTATGTTTTTTTTCTTCATGTTTTCGCGTTATTTTGTAATTAATTCGCGTTATTTTGTAATATTACTTCGGAAATATAATTTGCTTTTCATTTTTAATATAAAATTACGAAAATTATTATATTTTCATTGCTATATTTAATTATTTAAACGTACTATATATGTATATTTTTTTTGCTGGCCATATTTCAGCCACCATATTGTTTTATTTGTTGGTATTTTTAGTGTAATTCAAAATTTCAAATATAAATTCAATTTACCTGCGCATGAAAACCCTAAATAACCACCAAATTTTGAAACAAATTTTATCGAAATGCTAATTTTGGCCCCGAAACTTGAATGCTGGCCCACTGTATTTCTCAACGGGCAAACAAGAACGCCGCTGACCGTAGTATCTTTTTCTTTTCGTATTTGTCACTTATTTTGTCTTTCTTTGGAATAATTAATTTTATTTTTTTGCAAGAAAGTATTCATTAAATATGCAGAGTGACCTTAATAACTCATGGCAATTAGAAATCTTAGTGAAGTGCAGTCAATTTTTTCATTTATGCTATTTTTGTACAGATCTCAGACATTTTCACGTCGCATATTTAATATTTTCAATCGTTTTCCATCTATGCAAAAGCTATTGCATAAACAGTGACACTTAAATTTGATTAATTGAAAGTCATACAAATATAGCTAGTCAATATATCAAATTATAATCAGGGATAGAACCTTAATTTGCACCAAAAAATATTCAGATTACAATAAAAGTCCACAAGTTTTGAGCTATCTAAAATAGGCACCCATTCTCTAAACTCACCAGACGTTAAATGAAAAACGCAGAATGAAAAATTGACCACAGTAACTTTTGACCTAATTATCAAACCTTCACGTTCTTGGACTCAATTTTAATGGTTTGAGGGAGTAACTTCAAATATGCTAATTAATTAGAGCAGACGATATTTCAAGTTACAAAATCAGACACAAAAACGTACTTTCTCTGAATAAACAAATCTTTTTTTTTAACGAATTCAACAATCATAGTTGGCAATATGGTCCCCATAGTTCGGCCAGGAGAGTAGCCAAAGTTTGGACCCCTTAATGTTAATTTTATTTTTTGCGTATTTCTCAATATCTGGAGCACTTTTTATGTGAATCGAAACCATTTTGCACACAAGTGTAAAACTCGTTTATCCGAGGAAATTCCATTGAAAATATAACTTTCAGTGAATATTTATTATATTTTTATTATTTTATTTCAAAGTAGTAAGTAGTAGTTTTACAACATTAAAAAAAATATAATTTAACGTAAAAAAAATTCAAAATTTGAGGTAAATCGTTCGAATAGCTCCTGAGAAATTGAATTTGGAAGAAGTATTCCTTTTTAAATTCTAGTTTTCTGAAACTATTCAATCGCTTTAACTCAAATTTTGTGTTTTGCCATTTAAAGTTGCATTTTTTAAAATGATGTAAAAATTTATACACTTTACCATTCAAATGTTTTGTGGCCTATATTAAACAAAACAATGAAAAAAATATTACTGAAAGTTATAATTTGCATGGAATTATCTTTGGATAAACGAATTTCATAATTGTGAGCAAAAATTATACAATTCGCTTGAGAAGTTCTTGAGAAAAACGATTTGGATAAAAAACGAGGAAAATGAAATTAGCAGAATGGGGTCCAAACTTCAGACAGCTCTCGTACCTTAACTATTGGCTGCATATTTCCCAGATTAAGGCTTTTAAGAGGCAGAACTCAGAATTCGTCTAAAAAAGGTATATTTATTCAGTGAAAATTAAGTTTTTGCCAATGATTTCATAACTAATTAATTATCATATATAAAGTCACCCCCTGAACTACTAAGACTGATTCCTAGAGAGTGAAGATCCGATCTTTAGATCAAAAGTTGTTCAGGGTATTCCGTTTTATATTTTACGCACTGAACAAGAAGAAATAGATACTGATTGAAAGATTGCAATTGATAAGTTGACTGACAAATTATGAGGGATTTAATCTGTTTTCCTCCTTCAAGTCTGGCGAGAATGGGAGCTTACCCAAGTCAAATTTCATGACGGTTCCATCAAATCATTTTGATGGTTCATGTTACTTTCAATGCGATTCATGATGGTCCTACATCGTTTGATGGTCACCATCATCCAACATTTTCCATTATGCTTTCATGACTTTTGATATGCCAGCAAACATCCATCATTCCGTGATGGAAAATGCTACTATGAACGTTAATCATCAAGAGAAGTTTGATTTTCATGGACCAACAAACTATGATGGTTCCAGCTATGCATTTCTATGATAGTTTAATGGGATTTCTTGTTATTTCTTAGGAATATACCATCAAAACAATTTTTCATACTGACTCATCATAAATCAGTCCAAATTCCTACAATAGGATGATGGTTGTTCATGTTCGTTCCATCATTTGATTTCTAAGAAACTATGATGGAAATTTCTGATGGTTTAACAAGAGCAAACCATCGAAACAAGTTGCTATTCTTATGTTGAACCGTCATAAATCAGTCCGATTTCCTACATTGGTTACTTATGTTCGTTGCCATCAAAAATGTAAAGGGTCATGAATCATGACCCATTACATTTTTCCTACATTCCATCATGACTCATGATAGAATTATGGATGGTTTCCATCAAGATTATGTTGATAAATCAATGGAAAACTATAGAGTTGAAATACTGAGGTAGTGAGAGTAGAATAACCCCTGACCAGTGGACAAGATGAAGTCACATGACTGCAGAGTACACTTGAGACCGCTTTTATTCCCGTTCATTCGTTTAGCATTGCGATAGTCTGAGGAAATTAACTGTCTGACTTTTTAATTCAGAAATAAGCATTTCAGAAATAAGCATGGTACAAAAGTCTTGAGTATTTTGCTGCAAGGAGAAGTTTTCTAGGAGCTGTCCGATAACTTTTTACAAGAAAGGGCGACATTTTTTTTCACTTTTTCTATTTTAAAATTGAGTTAAAAATTTTTCCGATACTCAGTCATGCTCTGATAACCATGTTTTACTTTCTTTAATAATCAATTACGTTCGTTTTTGTTCACCTTTTTTTATATTTAACACTAGTTTTTATTGTTTCTTAAACTTATAATGTTTAAGTATCTTTCAATATATACTTTATTTTTAGCTGAAAAAGCTGCAAGCTTTGTTGGTTTCCTTGGCAAGATACTTTAGCGCCAAGGAACAGTTAAGGAAACTTTCGATTTTGTTTTAGTTCTCAGTAAATGTCGATAACATTTTTATATATTCTAAAGATTATGTATATCTTTACCTCTTGATTAGCAGAATTCAATATTTGCCTTGTTCTGAATTGTTTCCCATTAATATATACATTTAAATAAAAAAAATATGGTACATAAGAAGTTGTTTTTAAATTACATAGGAATGCTTAAAAATCAAATTATTTGTACATTCTTATATGTTTGATGAAGGAATAAAATCTATGAAATATTTGTAGTATTTAATTTTAAAAAAGTGTATAGTAGTCTTAGTGTTATTTTTTAATAAAATTGCATAATTCTATTACTATACATAAAATGAATACAAAATTATGTACTATTTAGAAAATAAATTAAGGAATATTTATCATAATCATTAAGTATTTGTTTCTCTTCTTTTTATTTAAAAATAGTTGCTATATTGGAAATATTTTTACTAGTATATTAAAGTGTAGAATTAGTTTGAATTAGCACAACA